AGCAGGAAGCCTTACCCATCCAGTGTATGCGAATGACTCAGAAGGACAGCATGGCTTTGTTTCAGCTTATATCTTCTAGCTCATTCACCCCTCCTCCCTCCCGTGGGATAAAAGTGTTGCCTGTGCCTGGCCATCCCGATTGGCTCAGCTAGGGAACCACGCTCATTTAGCATATTCAAGGTTTTGCAAGAGCCTAAAATGACCCACAGAGGATTTTTTATTTACATTAAAAAAACCCAACCAAACAAAAAACCAAAACCCAACACAAACACTTTCTGTCTTTCTAGGAGAACAAACACTTTATTCTTTCACTATCAGATACATCTTACAGTTGGTGTTGTTGCCACAGGGCCAAATAATTTCCTGCGCTCTGAATCGATGAGGAGGTGGCAAGTCAGGGAGGACAGTCCCACAGACTTCACTAATCCCCAGTTTGGCTGCACTGTCTGCCTATGGGAATTAAAGCCACATGTTTTGTGTCAAAGCCTATGCCCTCAAAACCCCCTTATCTTCAATTCAAACTGTATATACCCCCAAACCTAAGGATCTCCCGGTTTGCCAGGAAGGATTTGCTCTTCTGTTTTATTTTTAAATAGGCAGAACAGAAAAAGAGTGCTGTATTACTGAAGATGCAGACCCAGACTCTACAGCTTAAACTCTGCAGTGATGAAAAAATATTTTTTTTTCTTAAACGGTAGGGTTTTCTAAATGTAACAACTGATATAATCTAGGCTCTGCCTGAAGAATTTAGAAAGCTGTTACAATCTGTTTGTGAACCACCACTCCAGTGAGATAATACAGTGTTAAAAAATTCACCACAGTGTAAGTGAAAAATCTATCTGATCAAGAGATATCACACCCCTTTGCTAGCTTTGATCAAACCATACAACAGCCTAAAAAGTGCATTTGGAAGGGGAGAAGGTGAAGGGGGAGAGGAGTTTGTTTCTTTCTGTACTGCAAAATCCTTAAGAACTTGCAGTCAGACCCTGAAAGGCAATTTTCTGTATCTTGCAGTGTGAACTGCCAACAGGCTCGGTATCTGTACTTAGGGATTCAGCAAACACAGTGCACCAAGCACTGGTATTCCTTGTCTCTGATAAGAACTACCTTTTCTAAATAAAGCGTGGACATATTAGGCTACTGTCTCACCATGTAGTCACCACTAGATAACCTAAGATTCATAACTCTGCGATACAACCACAAGTGTATTTTGGAAGTGTTGCTTGTGGTTGTTGAAATAAACAGCGTGCTCCCTCTCCCCCCCTCCTCTGTTTTTAGAAAAGGTATCAGTTGCAAGTCTCAAACACCAAGGTTTGTAGAGCCACTAATGAAGTCAGAATCGGCAATTCAAAGAAATTAGCAAAAGCAGCACAATTGAGTCATCACTTCTCAGATTTCTTGACCTTCTCTTGCTTTGCATGGCTTCCCACCAACACTCTTGAGTCATTACAGTTTGGGAGAAACAAAATATTCATAAAGATGAAAATTTCTGATATTTTCAGTAGGACACTGCAATAAAAGCTTTGGAAAGAGCCCTGAGTATTTCAGATCCTAGAAACCAATCTGAAATCTTTCCCTGAATGGAAATTAGGAAGAAACAACCCAGGTGGACAGGCTGCTCCTCAAGCACCTCACCATAGAAATAACCAAGCAGTGTCAGAAAGGATGTCAGACTGAACGGATTAGTGGTCTCATCCAAAGTTTACAACTCTTGGATAGTCAGGATGCTGTTTTGGTGACCATAATAAATAGCTAAGGACATTTGGCAACAGCCCAGGCCAAATGCAGAGATGCATGTTAAACTTCTGGGAGCGGCAATGGGCATAACTTCCTTTCTTAACGGTAACTATCATTCTGAAGAGCGATGCATCAGTAAGGAAGATGCTTTTGCACTTTCCCTATCCCACCCTTTTTCACCTGGCAACAAACAAACAAAATCCATTACAACAAAAATCCAAGTTTTGAATATGCCTTCAAGTAGTGCAATCCCAAAGCCTGAGAAGAATTCTATGGAGAAAATAGCAAAAGATCTTACCAACCTTACCAGCAAGGTAGAAGGTGAAGAGCTGACACACTTTTAAGCACAACTGAGGACCTTGATTCTGCACAAGACACCACACTAATCCAACACTAACACTTTCATCCTCAGGCAAACTGAGCATGAGCAATAGTGCCAGAGAACACAGGCACAACAGGTACTACACCAAACACACATTTTAACAAAAGCATTATCATATATTGTATAAGAGCAAACCACTTTCAACAGGATGACATTCCCTGTAAGCTTGGCTTTTGCAAGACATCTAGTACTACTGTTCTGTATCAGTAAAGCACAAAAGTTCAAGCAAACTGTTCTCAAAACAGCAGAAGAAAAATTTCTGGGTCAGCAAGAGATTGTGAGGTACAGCTTACAAAGCATTCAGAAACGTAGCTGAATTGAAACCACAGTAGTGGGGAACAGTCTTACTAACATCTGAGAAAATAAATAGGAAATAAATGATTTTGCCTTTATCTTCAGAAGGGAGAGGATGCTGTTTCCAGACAGGTTAGAGAGAGCATAGCACAGGTGTTTAACATGTGACATTAACTCAAAGGATACTGCTGCACTGACAGGGGATTTATAAAAACTGGGCATCACCAGTGTTTCAGTTCTAACCCAGACAGCAGAAATGAAACAACTCACTGTTCTGCAAGCTACACTAGACAGCAGGAGTTGGCTGAAATGTCTGTAATTAAAAATAAACCAGTATTAGAAGGAACACTGCGTGTTTCTTCATATATAAGCAGGGCTGCTACAGTGTCCAGCACGTGAGATAGCACGTGAACTTGCACATGGCTTTGCTGTCTCTTGTGGAAGTTACACAATACAGGTAGTACATGATAAACCATATGCAGCTAGCAAAATTTTAATTAACACACTGTTAATTAAAAAAAAAACCAAAATACCTGTTCATAAACTGTGTCTACTGGCATGATATGGAGAGAGAATATAAGTCACTCATGCGATCGTACCCTGCACATTTCCCAGCCTCTGAAGTCAACTGGACAGTCTTACCAGATGCAACTCCAGCAACAAAGTAGAAAGCTAGGTTATGACCTCCAGAGGTCACCAATTTTCTTCTATCATTTTACAGTCTGATAATCTGGAGTCCATTGCTTACCGAATATATATGATAAGCCAGTTATGGGTACATTAAATACTGCACAGTATTGTAAGATGCTGTGGAAAAACTTAAACAAGTTCATCTGAAGATTATATATTCAAATACCCTGTGGTTTTGTTATCAGACTTTCTAAAGATATGTCTTTTCTTATCTTTATCACATTAAGTCTGTAAATTGTGTGCTGTTAACAATCTCTGGTTGTTTAAATTGTCTACTAAAATAATCCTCATGGATTTTAGTTGTTGATTTTTTTTAAATACAGCCAGAATACCCATTCACATGGTCTGATAGCATCATCTCCTGAAGGTTACAACCATTTTATGATAGTATATAGTAAGAAGCAAGTTCAGCAAGAAATTCTCTGGAGGCTTGACTTACTTCAGTCTTTGCTGGAAGAAGTTATTATAAGTACATACTACCCTTAAAAACTTAAATTCACAGGACTGTTCACATAATTTTCAGTACATGCTTTAGTCTTGCAAGAACAGGCTACTTCTGCTCACCATCATGAAATAATTCACTGCACAGGAAGTATACGTGATGTGAATATGCTTGGCTCTAAACATTTTTGGAGGAGACAAATACAAATGTTTTGATTTAGAATTGTTGAGATTCAATCCATTTTTTCCAAGACCATGCTCCAAACGCAAATCTTCAGGAATCAAGGTTGGGTTTTGCTTTTCTACTGCAAGCCCTTCCAACTTTTCAAGCTCTTGAGCACGTGTAGGAGTAAGCACTGGCCCTGACCCCAATTTTTCTTTTTTATTTTTTTTTAAATAAGATGTTAAAACCAGCAAAATAATCTTTTATTCAAACTTCCACTCCTTACACTATGTTCCCCCAGCCTTCAAAAGCTACAGCAAGTTTCAAGGAAATTTGTTCTCATATAAATTTGGAGCAACAACTGGAACAGTGCATACCATACATCTCAGAAAAAACATAGGCTACATGTGTCAAGAGAACTAGTAGGATGACAGCTCCTTCCAGGTAGTATGGCCAGAATCAGACATCAGTTCTGTTCTAGGGAAGTTAAGAGATAGATCATCTATGTATTATTGTGCTGATACAAACCAGTGAGATCTTCCTGATCGTGTCCAAGAAAACACATCTCTCCACTCACAAAAATTACACAATTCTCTAAGACCAAGATTAATCCCATGAACTACACAAACTATGGAAGCTCTGCTTTTATGGGACTGACAGGACCTGCTACACACACTTACACACAAAAAGGTCTCTTTTGTTCTTGGGTTGTGTTTGCTTAAGGAAATACTTTCCCATAGCCATGAACTGAAAAAAAACCTGAATCAAGTCTAAACTGCAAATATATCACCAAAAGTCTGCAAAATGAAGAGTGGCCGACATGAAAGGTAGACTACAGATCTGAAGTTAATTAAACTGTTACATTGGAAGGAATTGTCTATAGTCTAGAATGGCTGAAGCTATTTTGTTATACAACAATTGGAAGCACGAATGATAGAAAGGCTGGAACAGGGGATCTGTCTCAGCTGTCTGCTGCCTCTCAGTGCATACTGAGATGAAGTTTTGGGAACACTTACTTTCACTTTCATACTGAGTAACATTTCTTCCTAAAGCAGCATCTCCTAGGTATTTAAATACCATACAGCTTTTCTGCAGGCCCTAAAGGCTACTCTGGGATCTTAATTATTATACCACTGCATTTTATTAATGCCACCTATTTACTAGGAGGCAGACACAGATTCTTCTTTAAATGTTTCATACAAACAACTCCAGAAAAAAAAAAAAAAAAGGAAGAAAAAAAACAACCCATATTTCTCGGTTCACATCTATACCCATTTTTCAGCACAGGCTCACCTTAAATCCCAACCATCCAGGCCTGACCCTCCAGGTAGACCTGCATCACCACGTCCAAGTGGCTGACAATCCAAAAGGCAGTCCTCCTCCTACAAGAAACAAACACAAAAAAGTATGGATAAGAACCACAAATGCACATCCCAGGGGTATAAAAACAACTTCAGAACTACCAGGCAGTTAGGGGGATGACCTGACTGACTACAGGGAATGAAGCTGTTTAGAGCATATTGTTACCTTGCCTGTTCATACAGACAAGATCATCACCAAAAGCAACAGCACTTTTCAAAGCCCAGCTACTAATGCACTGTAGCTATATTCACAAGGAAAGAGAGGTCTTGCAAGTTGGCTCGGAACCCCGAGGATCTTGATGCTTCTGTTACGAGGGTCTGAGCCTTTAATATGAGATGCATTCTTGAACTACCAGTTTCTCTAGAAATGCTGATCTTTCTATTAGCCACCTCACAGAAAGTAGTCTGTATTACACCTTTCGATATGGTCAGGTAGCACTGAAGACAACAGCAAAACAGCAGCATCTACCAAAAGACTATTACCCTCAAAATCTCTAATTTTAAACATCAGTGGATGCAACTAGAAGAGCTAGGTCTTCCTAGAACTGCAGCAATCAGGAGACAGACCTGAGACATCACCCAGTGGAGAAGAATTGACCTATCAAGCAAGTCCATCTCTGCGGGCAACACCTGCCACGTGGCCTGATTTTTGATCCCACCTTGAACCACAACTGCTTTTATTTTCTTCTTTGGCAAATACAAAACAACTCTGGCTCTGCCTGTAACACTAATTGCTTCCCCACAGGGTGATTTAGCCTACGTGGAGATTCATGTTGATGTAGTATCAGAGTTAGGCTGTTTCACACTAGCTGAATTATCCCAACACAACACTGGCATCCTTAAGGATGCCAATCCCCTGAACTCATAAAAAAACCTTACAATAATCAACTACTCCAGACTTGTTACTCTATTCTGTACCACCAGTGCAGTTGTTTCTTTCCACAGAGCAGTGAAGCATTCTCCAAGGCAGACCTGAACTCCATGAAACAGTCTGTGCTGTTGAACAGATTATCTCCTTCCTGTAATAGGTGGCTAAACCAACATTTTTACTCTTGAGGGGTGAGGTTCAGCTCACCTATATATATATATATTTTTTTGGTGCCAAATATACTGCTTTCACTTTCACCGCTGCTTTATTAAACTTTCTTTTTTAATTTACTAAGAGGCACAAAATGAAGTCATGATATCCTAAGTGACCGGAGCAACAACTGTTAAGAGCAGTCAGGTCACTGCTCTGCTTCCACTGCAGCTGCTGAACACGTCAGATGCTAATACTGGCCTCTAGAGAAGAGGTCAAAACAAAAATAATTCATTGAAAAGACAGAAAGACAGACAAGATAGGAATTTTGCCAGAGCTGATAAAAATTCTGATTTGAGAAGACAAACCAACCCCCAAACATAACTACCTTGGAGCCCATGGGAAGAGATAAGGCAGCAATTCAGCCTTCTCCCTCATGTTATGCAGCTGTTCACACATTTTAACTAAGCCAATTTTTACGGTCTACCCACATTTATCTTTGTATTTCAGGCAGAAAACTAGCCTAAAGTTCCCAGAATATGGTAAAACATGTGCTATTGTTTTCCCATTTCCAACTTTCATTCACCTCAAATGGGCATT